TTGAGTAACTCATTGGAAGACGATCAACATCCATTGATTGCTCGCCATTCTACAGCAGCAGAGGCCTGGGCTGAACTGAATACATTTTTTGAATCCCATGATGTTCCAATGCAGATGCACTTGAGAGATGCATTGCATTCTCTCAAATTGAAGTCAGGCGAGTCTGTAGCGAAACATATCTCCAAGTTTCGCCTACTTCTTCACCAGTTGGCATCTATAGGGCAGACTATTCCAGAGGCAGAGGCTTATATCTGTCTCTTTCGAAGTCTTCCTATTGAATATAGATCCTTGGTGCACTCCATGCGGACACAGCAAACGTTGACCACTCAATCGCTTATTGCTAGTGTTCTTCTTGAAGAATCACACCTCCAAGAAGAAGAAGAGTTGACCGACGGAATGGCAGCACTCTACACAGCAAAGAAACGAGGGTGGACGTCAAAGATGATGCATCTAAGACACTCCACTGAGGCAGGTCCTTCATCACGACCAGAACCTCCTGCCAAACCATCTTTTTCCACGCAAAAAATGAAATGCTTCTATTGCAAGAGAAAGGTCATCTTGCCAGCCGGAAGAAGAAACACAACAGCGCTTCTTCACATTCTACACCAAACTATCACCAGCGGTTGTATGTCACTGCTCTAACATCAATCGGGATGAATCTGGTCTGGTATGTGGATTCTGGTGTTACTCAACACATGGCATACAACAAAAATGCCTTTGTGACATATACTGAACTACCATCGAAGGTGTTTGTATATCTGGGCGACGACAGTCGACAACTCATTCAGGGAAAAGGTAATGTCCTCATTTCTTTGAATGATGGACAAGAACGGATAATACCTGAAGTGTTACACGTCCCTGGTCTCCACAAGAATCCTTTCTCAATACATCAGCTTGTTCAGCAAGGAAAGAGTCTACTGGTTGAACCTCTTCGATGCATCTTGAAGGACAAGAAGGGTAACGTTTAGGCTGGGGACGACTTCTTTCAACACACCTGCAATTCCTGCTAATGTTTTTTATTCGGCTTCCAACACTGAAGAGCTGGACACCAATCAATGGCATCTCAAGCTCGACCATATGAGTCTTCCGCGGATTCAGCAAAGAAAGCAGCAATATATGGTAGAAGGGTTGGAGAAATGTTCCTTTCGGACTCTCCCTTTCTGCACATCATGTGCTCTAGGGAAGTCTACCAGAGCCAAGTTCCCAAGCAAAGGAGCCACTCGTGCTAAAGACTTTCTTGGCCTAGTACACACGGATATTTGTGGCCCTCTGAAAATTCAAACATTCCGAGAATGTTTGAATTTTCAAACATTCTCGGGATGTAAGTACTTCATCACATTTATTGATGATGTTTCACAATATACGCAGGTGTATTTGATACAACAGAAGTCTGAAGCCTTTGCCAAGTTTCAGGAATTCAAATCGATGGCTGAAAATTACCTCAACAAGCGCATCAAGGTCCTGCAATCAGATAATGCTCTTGAATACAAATCTCGAGCTTTTACTGATGTTTGTACGCTTCACGGCATACAACGAAAGTTTTCCATTCCTGATACTCCTGAACAAACCGGAGTAGCTGAACGGAAGAATCGAACTTTTATCGATTCTGTTGTCGCTATGTTGACACATTCTGGTCTTTCTCATGGCTATTGGGGCGAAGCCATCCATACGGCCGTTTACTTGCAGAACAGATCTCCATCGAAGGCTTTACCCAAGGACAAAACCCCTTACGAACTTTGGCATGGGCAGAAGCCGGATCTGCGGAACCTACAAGTTTTCGGATGTACTGCCTTTGCTCATATTAAGAAAGGCCATCGATGTAAGATTGACCCCAAGAGTGTAGAATGTGTTTTCCTTGGCTATTCTACTACAGCAAAAGGATATCGCGTACCGCGTAAGGACTCTCACAAGATTCTTGAAAGCAGATCTGTCAGATTTATGCCTCTTGCAGTTCGGGAAGCTACCTTTCACCATCAGCAAGCATCCGTTGTTCCGCCTGCTGAGCAAGAAGGTTTTACTCCCTTTCGCCCTGTTCCATTAGCTCCATCGACTGATCCAGTTCACACGAGGTTACCAGCAGAACGGCCACCAGCAGGACGGCCACCAGCGGTAGGAAAATTCAGTCCATTGACACCATCACATGCAGTGAGAGTTCCACAGGCAACTTCCACTTCCACTTCCTCCGTAAGTCATCCTCCCACTGCTGAAGTCCCTGCAACTTATCCAGCCCGTTTTGGCCAGACTTATCAGAGGCGCACATGGAAGCTACGGGAGAAATCTTTCTCTTCGGCTCCTCTTGATGATACAGTGTGCAAGACTTACTGGGAGAACTCCAAATTCACGACATTGCATCTGAAATCCCGCCTGCAGCTACGGGGGCTGCTTCATCGTCTTCCCGCTCCATCGATCCTCTCTTTGGAAGGGGGGAAAGAGTAAGGAAACGTGTCGAAAGATATGATCAACTTTTGGAGAAGAGGAAGAAGCATCGAGGTTTATTTTCGTATGGAGAGACTCACCAAGAACCTACTTCTTATGAAGAGGCCTTACAGAATGGTGATTCCATCAAATGGAAAGAAGCTATGGAGGATGAATTTTCTTCTTTGAAGAAAAATCACACCTGGACATTGACAGAGTTAATGTCCAGGTGTAACGTCGTTGGCTGCAAGTAGATTTACAAAATCAAATACAAGCCTGACGGTTTTGTTGATCGATACAAGGCCAGGTTAGTAGCGAAAGGATATCCACAGGTTTATGGTGTTGACATTTCGGAAACATTTTCTCCTGTGGTGAAGATGACATCCATTAGGGTGTTAATGGCTCTAGCAGCTCAATACAATTTAGAGCTGCACCAGATGGACGTGAAAACTGCATTCCTGAACGGGCGGTTGGATGAAGAAGTCTACATGGGCCTTCGTGAAGGGTTGAATATCTCTTCTGAGAAAAACATGGTGTGTAAACTGAATAAGTCCATTTATGGACTGAAACAATCCTCGCAACAGTGGTATCAGAGGATTGACTCGTTCTTACTGCAGATTGCCTTTACCAGGGCTAATGCAGATCAGAATGTTTACATTTACTCTCAGGAGAATGCATTTGTGTATTTAGCACTGTATGTGGACGACTGTATACTGGCAAGCGATTCCTTGCGTCTCCTCACAAAGATCAAGGAGAAACTTAAAAGGGAGTTCGAAATGGTGGACTTAGAAGAGATCCATCATTGTCTTGGTATGCAAGTTGACAGAAATCGTGAAGAAGGGTGGATTCGGATCTCCCAACCACGACATTTGGTTGAAAAACTTGCGAGATTCAACATGGCTGACTGTAAGCCTATTGATACACCTATGGAACCCGGTTTGAAGTTAAGTGTGCTTGACTCTCCCAATTCAGTGGGAGAAAGCGAAGAGGTGAAAGATGTTCCATATCAAGCTGTTGTTGGGAGCTTGATGTGGGCTATGGTCTGCACTAGACCCGATATATCTTTTGCTGTCAGTTCTGTGGCTCAGTTCATGTCAAATCCTGGACTGACACATTGGAAGGCAGTTACGAGGATTTTCAGAAATCTGAAAGGAACTCTCGACTTTGGCCTTGTGTTCACGAGGGTTGACAAACCATCCGGTTTAACTGGATATTCCGATGCGGACTGGGGTGGTTGCCTTGACACGAGACGATCGACGTCTGGATATTCTTTCCAACTCCATGGCGGAACCATTAGTTGGACATCAAAGAAACAAAAGTCAGTAGCGCTTTCTTCTACAGAAGCAGAGTACATGGCTTTGTCCAAGGCTGGAGCTGAAGCTATGTGGTTAAGAGAATTAGTGACCGATCTAGGTTTTGAGCTGGAGTCGACCACTATTTTCTGTAACAACCAAAGTGCGATCTCACAAATAGAGAACCACAAAAATCACGAGAGATCTAAGCATATTGACATTAGATATCATTTGTCAGAGATCTGGTCACCAGTAATTTGGTGAAGTTAGTTCCTGTTCCAACTGAAGAGATGATTGCTGATATTATGACAAAACCATTAGCTAGAAAAAAGCAGTGGTATCATAATCAGAATTTAGGTTTATTAGTTGGAAATGTGGATGAGCGAAGTAAGTAGGTTGTAAGTGGGAGTGTTAGAAGTATTACTACCCACTTCTTGGTCCTCCGTACACTCTGTTAAAGAACGTGTGTACTTTGTCCTATAGTCAGTGGTCGTGACACTTAGTCACGACCACTGTCACGACCAGCCGCTGTCCATTAGGGTTTAGGGTCCTGTATCTCTCGGATGACCACTGTCACGATTGGGTATATTACCCCCATCCGAGTTCACTCCCTAACAACTCAGATCTTCTCTCCAGGTCTCAGTACCTGTGTCTCGACCCTTTCATCCATTGCATTACTTCCTGATAGTAGGTACCCATATCTTAAGTTGACAATAAACTCGTCAATTCCTTCTTCTTTTTTACTTCTCTTCAAGAAATCAATTACTTATAAAGACTTTTTTAGTAACAGTGCTATGTTGAGTACCAAGATTATCAATAGTGGCTGGAAATGTGAATTTAGTCAAACAACACCAAAAGCAATGCTAAACAAAAAAAACAGAGGTGTTGACGTAAGTCCATTCGTTAAAGCAGCAAAAGAAGTCCAACTCGTGTCTAAGGTGGTTCAAAAGAATTTAACAACTGAGAGAAGAAAAAAGTGTGTCAATGTCACCAAAAAGATAAACAGAATGGGTACAATAAATTGGACGTTATAGGCGCAGGATAAAAATCTAGAGGCTATAATCCCAAAAGACTATGACCTTGCATCCGCATCATAAAACTATGCGCTATATAATGCGTAAAAAGTAGATTTAGGCGTTAACTACAAGACTGAACTTAGATATTCTCCAAATTTTCTATAATTTTGCACAAAAATCCTGTATACCAATTTCCGTGTAAAAAAACGAAAAAATTTCATGATTTCAATTCTCACATCAAGCATTCCTCTCTAAACTTTGAATGCAAAAGAATTACCTGAGCAGCTTCAATTTCCGTATCTTGTTTCAATATCGTCATTGACAAAGGTCGAAGCACACATAGGAAAAAGATGTCGGACTTTTCAAATAAAACCTGATGTCCTTGTCTGTTTCAAACGAGCCACAAAGTTTATGATAATAAGTCCGAAAAATCTTAGCGAATCAATTAAGTCAGCAGAATATGATTGATTTAACAAAAATAAGGACAGACCCAACTTTAGCGGTAACAAGTAATTACGAGCACCTTTCAAGAAATGCCATACAACACAGAAGCAAACGTAGAGAACTGTCAGTAATCCTGCCAGTTATGAAAAATTGATATGTATATATGTTTAGGTATCAATCCGGAGTCAACGATAAAAAAATGGAAGCATCCCTCATCATCTGGCCTTCTTCTTTATAAGGAAAGAAGCCTTTAGTGGGAAAGCTCCTCGTGAATTTCGTAACTAGCCCGTTGCAGCAGGCTAGCGATGGGGCTTTTCTTTTTATGCCTTTTGATCGGACCTTCCGACCCTGGGAAAAGCTCCTAAAGAATCATGCGCCAACATTCCTTCTAAACAATACAACCGGCGGGGTTATGACCGAATCAAAAAGGTGTGTCAATATAAGAGAGACTATAGGTGTAAAGGAGAGACCGATCTAGTTGTATGATGCTAAGAACTGAGTGTCAAAATCAAAAACTAAACGAAGTGACATCGTAGGTCAAACGAAAACAGAACAGCTTTCATTTAAAACTAACACAGTTCTTATTAGCCGATTTAGTAGACAGAAGCCAGAAATAAACGACCACCTTGGCGCGATCTCTATCTCGACAAAACCCAGGGCAGTGAGTAAAAAGCAGACACCAATAGTACATAGAATAGCTAATCTTTTAGGGCGGTTTCGACCACCAAGTCGGTCAAAACGTAATGTTCGGGTTCTCCTCGAAGATCAGAATTTCAATAGTAAATCGGCGCCCAGAAATAAAGCGTGATGAAAAAATCACCAAATTGAAGCAAACAATGATAGCCATGAAGAAATATGCGGGAAAAAAGAATGACAACAACAACTCGTGCTGGTTTAGCCTTAAGCACAACAAATGTTAATCTGGTTGGGGATATAAATACCTGAATCCAATTACCTCCAAAAACTCCGTATCAATCTGTAATTTTACAACTTAAAAAGTGAATCACGTAGGACTGTGAAGGATATTTTCGCTCTCGGATAAAACCATACGCAAGGTCTAGGCTGCCAAACAACCCAAAACGGGTATTGTATTTCCTCGTCAAGTGGAAAAGAGTAACAGTGATTCTGTCAAGCTTCTAAGAAATTGCAGGATGAAGAATCAAAGAGTTGATACTAGTAACAAGCTTATATATTCTTTCAAGTGATAAAGACGGAGATTTTCCTTTGAACAGATGTTTCGCCAAACTCATAACAAGACACGACAAATACATGAGACGAAAATGCGACGAGTTGAACACTTCCTATGCAGACTTACTCCTGTTTCCTCCTTCACTTCCCGAACAGCACCTTCATGTACGTCTTCACCCTGCAACTCACAGCAAAACAGCAACATTCAGCAGTTCTTCTAAAAGATAAATGTTCGAGTATAAAATAGCCGCTGTTGTAATGTCCCGTCGGCGCCAACCAATCTACTGCGAATCATACGATACTAGGAATTCCACCCTGCATCTAGAACTAGGGCATAGTCAACGTAAATGGGGTTTTACGTGTACATAACAATTCTTCTCATTCACAGGAGTTAGTCCAATAAGGTTATTCAATGAAACCACTGAGAGAGTTAAAAGCATATATATTTTATTGTTTGCAATTGGACCCTTCGTCATGTTCACTACTGTGAGTCCCGCGAGGCAGAATCTGCTTCTTAATCTGTGGATACCAAGGTTCGTAGGTTTTTAGCCCAAAATTATGCTCCGGCTATGCGTTATGGTTATAAGACTCATGTTTTCAAGAACATGACGAAGGTGTTGACATAATAGAAAATGGAAATGGTTATGAAATTCTCATCCTTAAAGCAGGCATTGTTCTAAGATTGTTTGTTGAAAGAGAAAACAATGAAAAAAATAGACTTTGATAGTTGAGACGGTTATAAATGAGCATGACTTGAATTCGAACCTAAGGTTACTGAACAGCCTCACAACAACAAATTTGCTTGTGCATTTATGAGGTGGAAGTGAGTTTTGTGGCCTAGAGAAGTGTAGAGAGTCTATACGCAATGGACTTGCTGAGGATAACCTGTATAGATTGCTATATTGCTAAATATGAAGAACAAGAAATCTTTTAATGAGGTTGATGTTTCAGACGAAAAATCATTGGAGTAATAGCATAGACGATATCATCCTTTACGACCTAAAATTGGACTGATATAGCACATGGTGGGAGTATTCTAACATGCTAAAATTCATTCGTAAAATACCAAATGGATGTTAGCAGTGTGATGCTGGCCTTCCAAGAAAGCAACACACTCATCATACACAAGGATTCCATCTGCTTAGGGTCTTCAATGAATAGATGGTCTTTTCAAATACATTCTCTTAGCTTTTCTAAACTACACAACATCCGATATACTCTTGCCATCTATAAAAGAGATCTAATATTGTGCACCTTGAAGAAAACTTATGATAAATTTTACCCCATAGGCAAAATATGATAGAAAAACAAACGGGTGCATACGCTGTGAGACCAGTGTGCGGTTTGGATCCTCGAATCCGATGCAAAAAAACGAACCAGTGAACAACAACAGTATCTACCCAACGGGCATCACTTCATGGACACAAGATCCCGGCTGCTTCGCCAGAGGGTAACAGGGTGAATAGGTTTCTACAGTACACCGGACGGGGTTGAGGATAATTCAAACCCCAACAGACGATGGGGTGTTTCCATAACTGTTCCCCAATATGGTAAATCTTGTACAGCACCAGGTTAGCTAAAAAGTTGGAAACATCGAAAGCATCCAAAAAAATGGAGAATATCGAAAGCACCCACAGCCTTAAAGACAATCTCGAAAGATGAGACAATGAGTCTAAGGAGAGGAAATCCTTGAGCACAGCAGAGAAAAATAGCCTAGGACTTAGAAAACAGGCTTGAGTTTAAGCTTACCGCTCATAGTAAGTTAACTGGCGCACTGTTTGGTACATACCCATGGCTAAGCTAGTAATCTAAAATAGACGTCTTCTAAAAAGAACACGGAAGACTATGTGCATATTGTAGTGCTGCATTCTATAATCGTGGATCAACGTTACGATAGCTTCAAGCAAGGTTATTCCTGGAATCACATTAAAGTATAAAACGCAGGACCGTGAATTGATGACTTGAGATTGGACGTCTGAGAGAACGTGAGGTAGTGAAATAGGCGTATGTTTCCTGGAGTGAGGTTCTCCACGTTAGCATGAACGTCAATGGAAAGTTTGGGCCGTCCTGACTAATAACCAAGTCCAACAACCATCGCCGTGGAATTTCATCAGGATATTCTGTTGAGTTCGCAAGAATCTTGTGGATAAATCCCTCTTCCGGCAGGGGACAAATCGCTCCATTAGACCCTCGAAATCTAGAATATAGGGAACGAAAAGGTCATCACCGCAGCGTCTCACACGTAGCAACCGCTGTAGAGGAGGGCGATGTTTCGCAAAGAAAGGATCCGTTCGATGCAATCTTCTTCGTAGGCGACAATGTAAAAGTTAGCTAGAAAGACTGCACAAATTGTTACCAAAAGCCTGTTAGTAGATTTTGCTTTAGAATCGCAGAGAATTCTTGGGCAAACATACGTAGAATATTCAGAACAGAGACAGTAACTGAGTTGCGGACAGAATAACAGGCAGCAACAAAACAAGTGGTGAACTGCACGAATGAAGATACAAATGGGTACAGAATCAAACGAGAGCACACGCACTGACAGACAAGACTGCAGTTTGGTTCCTCGATCCGATGCGACAAATGAAGCAGGGACCATTTAAAAAATCTACAGGACAAGCATCACTCCATTTGCACAGTATGTGAGCATGTGACATCTTGATATTAACAAAAGCTTTTCGGAACTCGTGACCGATAGTCATCAGTCTAAAAAATGAGGACGTTCAGTCCTTTTCTTTTTTGCATAGACGCCATGGATTTTCGTTCCGCTAGTCGAAAGAACGCGACACCTGTAACACGGGTGATACTGCACGAAGTGCACCAACAGTAAATTGGCCGAAAGAAAGCTTACTGTATATCCGGACTGATTAAGCACGGCAAGAAACTGGGAAGCGGGAGGTCGACGGTGTAGGTATGGCGCCTCAGTGCTATCGCACATAGATGGATCCCAAGATAAAATGAAACTGAAAACATAAGTGAAATCATAAAGCGTTCGTTGTCATCTTGACACGGAGGATGCGACCGGCGTAAAGGAGAAAGCAACCAGAAGCAAACCGAAATATTTTATGAGGAAAACACAGAAAGAGGAGAGACAGATCCCGAAGGTTATATTTTGAAAACAGTCGAGTCTTGAAATGGAAGGCATCACAGCTGAGCAGAAAAAGTAAATGACGACCATGCGACCGGCGTAAAGGAGAAAGCAGCAAGAAGCAAACAGAAATTATTTTGAGGAAAACACAGAAAGAAAAGAGAAAGATCCCGAGAGTTATTTAAAGAGAACAGTCGAATCTTGAAATGGAAGGCATGACAGCTGAACAGAAAAAGCAAGTGAGGAACAAGAAAACATTCAGACAGAAGTCAAGGCGTAACAAAGCTCCATTCAGTAGGCTTTGACTAGAGACAAAAAGGAGTACGTGTGGATGAGAAAAGGTGAAAACATAACTAAACAGTAAATGATCGGGTTCAGTGCAAGTTTGCACCTGGTTGACCAATCCTGTAGGCATCTTCCATACTCCAGACCCTTGCAGAGGCCCATTCTTCTCTTGCACCGCAAGAACCTGAAAAAAATGAAGAGCATAGTTGAAGAGCATTCTTGTACAGTAAACTTCTTACTACTACCTCCCCTTTTGAATATGTAAAACTTAGATGTACTTGACTATTGGCAGTGCTAAGCCATATGGTCCATGGACTTGATGCTAGCATATTGAAACAATGACAAAATGTGTCTATATAGCGTATACAAGTATTAAAGACGAGCTTTGGTACTATGGCGTAAATTACAAAGCGTGGTAGAACACACGATGATTAAAAGATTGCACACGTGGAACAAAAAAACTGTAATCTCCATGACTGACCCTCAAAGAATGAACGTCCCCTGCAGTCCAAGGCGACTCTACTTGAATGGAGTTGGAGGCAACCGAATCGATTGCAATCCAATACAACGCAAGGAAAGGAAACAGAAGAGAGTACAGATATAGTCCAAACAACAAATATGAAGGGCAGAAGGAAGAAACTATCAAGAACGAAGAGGATTGTTACGCGTTACGCAAGAAAGGATGAGCAAGGTTGGATATTATGGAGACAGATAAGATAGTAAATGCTTAATCTCGGGGGCTTAGCATCTGGCATGCAAGAGACCGAAGCAACTCAGATCTCTAAGCGATACGTCTCGAGGGCCCAAAAAGAAAAATTAGATGGAAAGAAGCATGAAGACGACGACAGAAAAGCCTAGATTTGATCCATGAACTATAATCGTAAATAAAGAAAGACTATGTCTGCGTAAGTAGAAGAAGACACGGAGTAGAAGAAAAGTGAAATATGGAAGCCAGAGCGACCTGACAAGCTATCAGATTGACAGCGGTGGGAAGAGTAAGTGTGCAGTATGGAGGAACCAGTCCGACGCAAAAAAGTCCTCCGGCAACCCTTGACAATAAATATGCAAGGGAAGCGTCAAATTACCGTCACGTAGACTTGGCTGCTTCCTCAGTGGATATCGAGGTGCGAAGGTTTCTGCACTGGACCAGGCGGGGGCTGAGAATAACTCGGTGCCCAACAAGCCAAAGAAGATCAATCCCTGCTGCCCGGACGTATAATAATTACTGCCTGGCAGTGTCTACCAATGAAGGCTTTGCCAAACATTAAGCGAAAAAACAGAGGGAGTATCACTCCACTGGAAACGCTTAACACGTAAGGAGAACAAAGAGGTAGACTCGGTAGGTACAACCATGCGGAAGATTGAGTTCACAGGAATCCCTAGGGTGGTTATCCCCTGCAATAGGGTCTGGACAGTGGAACATGAGAACCTCAAACTCAGATATGGCAAGAACGAAACACATCTCGTCCAACGATGATGAGTCTACCAAGGAGATCCTTGTACTCCATAACGAAGCACGTTGGAGAAAGAACAATGATGTGATGTTAATTCAGAAGACCGCACATGGGAATCTCTACCATTTGTCGGTACGGTTTCTTGGGGGCGTTAAGGCTACCAAATCCGAGGAGGGAGTGACCTCCTCCCCAAGGCAAGCTCTTTGAATGAGAAAGTGCTCTTTGTGGTTCCTGGTATAAGCCCACATATCGACCCAGTGGCCGTCTTCAAAGTCACAAGTAAATATCAACTAGAAGGAAATCCAACCACGTAATGAGGACATTTCGTGGACATGGACCGTCTATGTGATGAAGGACATTCGGAAACCTTCGAACACAGGAGAACCCGACATCATGAAGTAGAGAATTCGAATGGTCAGTAAAAAGAGGATCCTTCAGCCTACGTAAGTAGACGTAACTAAAACGATCCCTAACTAGAGTGGCCGTCCACTAAGTGAAGGTCATCATACATTCCGCGTACAAGATAGTAAGTTGTAGCATGAGACAAAGGCAGAAATCAGAAAGGGCGACTCCGGTTGTAACCATGAAGACATTGCACACTCCAGCAAAATTGTCTTATATCGACACAGATTGAGGTTTTGTAATCCACGTTGGTGCGGAGGTGAAGCCCATAAATGTGCTGTAGGAGGCAGCTCCCTGTAAGCGAGTTCTAACCATATGAAACCTGTGTAAAGGTAGTGACACTGGCCACAAGTCTACAACGTGGCTTTTGTGGAGCCTCCTGTATGAAGAAGAAATACAGAGAATAAGTAGCCTCACCTTTATAACCTACGAACTGATGCTGTGTAGCGAAGTCAGTGTGTCTGGCAGTAATGTTTGACTTGTTGAAAACATATCGTGTTGTCAAGAAGCCAACAACGGACGGGCAACTTGGAAATAGGAGTGGCAAGAGTACTGTAGACAAAATGCTTAAGGACGTAGCCATAAATGTGAGTGTTCATTCTTTAGGACGGCTCAAGGTCGGACGTGGAAGGACTACTCGTCACCCAAGATTTTCGGAATGTTCGTCAAGCAAAACATGTCATATTAAGTTCGGTATGGAAGGAGGAAAGACGTCAATTCAAATTGGCGACGAATGAGATTCAGCTTTGAGAACATTAAGCACGAGGGGGAGAGGGGGACTGGGAGAGCCGCGACCCTCAACATTGAATCCACGAGGGAGGAGACAAAGTTCGTCAACGTGTGCCGAAGCAGATGAAAATACAGGGACAATACGAGAGTTGCAAAACGTACTGCGATGGTCCCGTGGATGGTAACAAATTCAAATGGATCAAGAAAATGTCGGGATCGATGAAAATAAATACAAGCGGAGTGATTGACTGCCGTGAGGGCGAGAAAATCAAAGAGATAGATCATATACATTACAAAAGTAGTATTAACGAAATCTAGGTGGAACGTCGACGAATTGTTCGTGGAGTCTACATGTATCTAGAGTAATGGGAGTCAAGAATCCGCTGGCCGTGAGCCACTCGGTGTATCCAACAAGAGAGGAAAAACTAACTCCAACGGCTCATGAGAAGCAACTGTATACCATTACTCTCTTTGCCCAGATTCTGCATATTGCCGTCTTCCAGCATATATCGCTGACCACTTGCACGTGGCAGTGAGCACTTAGAACAATGAGTAAACATTTGTGGTGTTTGTATCTACTCTTTTTGTGCGCTGGCCTTTGGAAAATGATTGAAGCATTTTTGCTTTTAATTGTTTTCAGCCATTCGAAGAGGATGCTAGATGTATATTTTAAGACGAGACGCTTTTTCAGCTCGTTCCCCTCTACATCAATATCAGAAATTCCACTTCCATCTGGTCAAGTAACCTAGGAAGAACACGCGTTGACAAACTTGCAACAACGATAAGTGGCTTTTCAATTCCCTTTCTCCTCCCCTTATTACCTTTAATATGAGTCCTCTCCATCGCCAATTTATAACGTCCTTTCTGCTTTGACTTCTTCGCCAACATTCTGTCTACTTCCGAGGCTACGTTCGACTTCGCATTCTACAAACTTTTGGTGCAGGACTTTTATATGATATCAGTCGGAGTTTGTGCACAACAATCTTTTCACTTTCACGAAATAAACCAAGAAAAGGATTAAATGCTAGCTGATATAGGGGGAAAGAAAAGGGGCATAAGAAAAAGGAAACTCGAAATACTACACAAGTGGGAAAGAGAATACACTTAGCGTATAAGTGTATTAAGTAAGTTGCCAAAGGCAAGGAACAAAATGAAACTCTTTGAGAAAAAAGGAGAAGGCAAAACCGACTCGTTTTTTAAAACAGCGCAGCAGCAACTAACTTTACATGAGTGAAACAACTGCGATTGAGCCAGTAGAACAAAACAATGACATAAAAGATAACGAAATGCCATTCGTGGCAAAACGAAAAGGACTGAACGCAATCAGGAAAGACATGAAGTATTTGTACCTGCCCTTCTTCATTCAGGACGAAGGCCCCAACACCAACTTGATGCGATGCGTTGGAAGGAAGTGTACAAGGTACTTCTGGTATCCAATAAGTCAACATCACATAATTTGGTTCTGCGTGGTGATAGACAAAGCCCGCCTGCAGGTAGTATCCATAATGTTGTGGATTAACTCAGAATCAGAAAGAGAGCAATAACTTAGTTACAGTGCAAGTAAATAAATCGACTTTAGGCTTAGGGTTACTTTGGTGGAATTGAGTAATTAACCACAACAGACCAGGAATTCCGATACGTGTCATGCTCTGTAGTTAAAGTTTCTTTTTTGTGTCAGACCTGACACTGAAAGCCTGTATATAATTTGAGATGTTAGTAAAGGAACAGATGTCAGGCAATCACCTTCCCACGATAATTCCTTCAGGTACTAATAAATCCTTCGGCATTGAATTGCTGAGGAGTTGATCTTATTTCTGACAGTCGGTAGTATTTATGTCAGTCTGATAACAGTTTACTACCTCTCATGGTATACCTCAGGGTGAGGTAAGGAACAAAGGTCACACAATCACCTTCCCAGGTATGATTATCTCAAGTTATGCTGAAAACTTTCAGTATTGGATTGCTGTGGAGTGGGGATCAATGCTTTAGCAGATTTTTGACTTGGTCTCATCTCTGAGAATGAGGAGTATCTATGTGCACCTGATATATGTTTACTATCTCTCATAGTATACCTGAGAGCAAGGGTAAGGGTTAGGGTGAGTGGTAGCTAGTTATTGCAAGTGCAAGAAAAGTTTCTGGAACTACTGTTGTTAAGGGATCGTCAAGAGTTGTTTCGCTTTACTTCTAATTTCCCAAATATGATACCAATCATAATAAGACAAGAGCCGCACCTCTGCTTCCTTCTTACACAAAGAAATATAACCATGCCTCTGAACGAATTTCAGAAACCGCTTTACAAAAGAAAACGTTGGATTCGGTCAAAGAAGACACCTTCATCTCAGGACCAGTCAACAGCCTTCAGCTTCAAAGGCTGAAGGTCTTAACTTTGGAGCCACATTCAGATCTTCAGGAGCTTAAATCAATCAGCAGCTTAGAGTAACCCAAGCTCAGATATGTGTCAAGAGAATCGTACAATATAAAACCATGACTTGCTTGCAGAGAGTTACAGAACTTGTATCACAAGTTCTGTATCACAAAACAAGCTATCTGTAACAGCCAACAGCATACCTCAATGGCAGGAAAAACCAAGTTCGCATTTTCTGTAGGTAGCTTCAACCACACCCCTTTTCGCTCCTGCCAAGAAGGGCTTTAATTAGTCTTGTGAACATCTAGATTTCAGTCTTTGCATTACATACCGTGGACACAGTTCACATCGTGAATGTACAACGGTGGCTGATTAAAGAGGGAGAAAATAAACCTGAGACTTCCAAAGGGCCAAAGAGTCATGAAGACTATCGATGAAAGAGTTCACGTCCGTAGGTAGACAGCTTGGATCCACAATGATCCCATCATAAGGGTCCACTTCACATGATAAACAATTTGAAGATAGCAAAAGATTCTCCAAGCCATAATCGTTGTCTTTCTTCTCCATTTCTTCGGAATGGTTTTCCACGATTTCTTCTCTGGAAGCGAAAGGCATCACCCCAGATTCAGCCTCCGTAGATAAAGGCATTATCTATTCCAAGCAATCAACTTGGAGTTAGCTAACACAAAAAACTTAAGAGTTCCGTAAAGATAATTTCTACAAAGCACTCGTTAAGACGTGGATATGAATTGTGAATTTTCAGCTTCGAAGACGGCAAATGACTCTTTTATAACTAGCTGAGATCTGTTTTCAAAGCGATTCTTCCATAAAGGAGAACGTTACCTAACAGCTGCTTAGAAAATCAGAAACATATCTAGAAGATCTGAAGATAAACTCTAGTCACAAACTTTGTTCAGAAACTAATTTAGTGCCCATTTTGATATCGGTAAGAAAAAAAACAGCAAGAAATTTTATGACATATATAAAGCCCTCTCAATTCGAAGATACCATTATATAAGGCTTCATCTGACTATCAACGGGCAATCTCTGTTGATCGACAAACAAATTCATACGTTTACTGAGATGAAGCAAAGAGTGGAGCCCACGTTTCATCATCCTGAGACTCGAGTATATACATTTAAAACAACACATGATCAACCACAAGATCTTCACACCCTAGGGGGCCGAAGAGTACAGACCCGTATGCAATGGCATAAATTTATGGCTGTGTCTGCCAAGCAATCAAGAACAGGACAGAAGAATGGCGTCACGCAGATAAATCGACGAACTCAATGAACAGCATTTATAAAGTATCCGATAAAGACAACTGCGTGTGAATTGCGGAAGAGGGTAGCGGTTAGTCCCATTCAGTGAGAGCAGATGCACACGGAAGAAACAACAATGGAGCACGGTTGAAGCAACCATGGCAAACGCAGTCGGAACAAACGTCTTACAACTTACACATGATCGTATAGATAAACGTTACATCGTTAAATTTACACGTGATTAACCGGAGGCGCTTGAACCCAAGGAGACGGAAGAGCACAGACCCGCGAAGCCCAACTAGATGCTCTATCTTAAGGCGTAACCGTTGGAACTGTTAAGCAATGAAGGACAAGCACGAATAAAATCAATGCATGGCATCCTGGTGAAATGATCCACGTGTTGAGAGGACAAGCATTCATAGAGTGTCCAGAACAAGAGCCTGCAAGTGAGTTGCGGAAAAGTGAAGGAAGCAGACACAAACCATGATACACTATGCATGTGTGAGAGACAGAAAATCAAACCTGGTTAGCAACATGTTCCGACCTTGCGTTTGTAGTGACAGAACAAAGTGCGGTACAGTTCCTCAAATCCGATGTCACAAAAGGAACCAAAATTATTCAACCATCAACATTAACCACCCAACAAGCAACTCTTCCTAGCATCACGGGTTCCAAGGGTTCCACCTTTCCAAGCATTAAGCAAGAAAGCCTTCATCCACCTTACGATCGATAAGCCCAGTAAATGTGACTCAAAAGCGCGGCTGCTTTGGATCAAGGCTAGTGGATTTGGTAAACAGGTTGGACTCCACCAGTAGAGATAAATTTCGGAGACTTCCGTTGTCATGTAAATGAGAGAGCAGTAGATTATCCATAAAACCTGAACCATACAGGCTTTTGTACTCCTTGCTGAAGTGCGAAACTTTCAGAGTGGTTCCCCATCTTGCTGTTCTTTTCATTGGCAAGGAAGAACCCTCTTCATAACTTGAACTTTAAGCGCGTCCCCAAACAAGGAACACTTATGGAATAGCGTTTGGAGATGACGGGTTTGAGCTCCATCGTAGCTATGGAGAGTTCTATGATTCTTGTAGATTTGTGTTTCGACTCCACCCTGTCCAGTGTACCTGAAAGACCAGTAGATTGCTGTGTGTCTGAATATCTAAGAGCCCGGCTTCTCTGTCTCTCTAATATATATACTCCCAATGACAATTCTGTTCCCCTCGCGATATCAAAATCTGACTAAACAAAGGTACAGCTTGGCTCCTTGCCTTCTGCGAAAACACAAACCCTCCAGGACAATTCGGAAACCGGTGATGTAGCTCTTTTCACCACATCATAAAGAACTAATGGCACTGATGTTGATAATTAACAAGTCTAAAGTATAAACCATGTGTTGAACTTGCAGAACGAATATATACTGACTGACGGATCTTACCAGAAACATGACCTCCAGAATGCACTCAATTTATTGTAATTTTGAGCTCAATCAACTGGTCGTCTGGCATCTACCGCCTTTGCTTCCAGCAAAGATATACCCTGATTCCAAAGGGTAGCCTTCTACTTTCATCAGGTCGTCGACCTTGACCCCAATCTCCGATGTTGGAACACCAAACTGACGGCGACCATCCCTGACATAATCAAGGACAGATCCTTTCCATTTTTTGCAAACACAGAACGCACTGTCGAAATGCAGAGTAGGGCAACGATTTCCAACCACAATACATATGGCTTCGTCTCTCATTAGCTGTGCACAACGAGTTTTTGCTCCGCATTGCCCTGATTTTGGGAAGCAAAGGTTTCCTGGTGGTCAAAATATATTAAGTTCTGATCCTGTGAAGAGGGTAAAGTGGAAAAACTGAAGGGAACAGACACCATCCAAACGAACGGAAATGAAAGAATAAAACCCGATAGAATCGTAATGTTCTAATCTACATTGTGAGTCCTTGATGGGTTGGAGAAATATTGCAAGACGATACCTAAATCACGATGGAGCTTCTTGTTCATGGACTTCTCCTTCACATGCAAGCGTTGGCATGAATTGCTGTATACTCACGTTGGGATATACATGTGATTAGGCATCACCGGGTCAATGTTGGACGTCTATGTTTAACTGTATGTCTGAAACTTGAGTCATACGAACCGTCTTGGATTCACCCCACTCTCCGGTGTTTCTATACTTCCTACTATAATGCTGTGTTGACTATTTATGACGTGATATATTAATAACAAAAATTTAAATGTGTAATTACATTATGCTGCAAAATCATCTTTAGGTTAATTTAAAATAAAAATTGTGTTTTTATAATTAAAATATCCGAGACTACAAGCCTTCCCCGCGGGTCAACTAAAGAGATAATATGCTAATAACTCGAAAAAAGGAAAAGATATTATATTCTCACACATCTATTAGCGAGCGCAGACTGCTGTACATCTCGAATATGGCGTGGAATTGAGCACCATCCCTTAAGAAGGTTTATTGGGGGATGAAGTTAAACACAAACAATGAGAAAAAAATGTGTAATATCCCATTGCAAACACAATTCTCTCTTGTTGAAAATTGTAAATGAGTAAGTTAAAACTAGGATAAACTGATTGACTAACTAACTATACTAAAGGTAAGTAGACTTTACCAATACTTGAGTTACATCATCTTCCCATAAACTCATGTATTTTGTGCTAAGACTTCCATAACCTATAGAGTTAGTTTTCAAAAAGTACTAGAAAGAGATCTAACATGGGTCACTATTCTTATGGATAACTCTAGTCGGCTGGTCACCCTGGTGTAGGGTTTTTGCTTCAGACTATTTAAGACGGTGAGACATAGCTCACCCTCAACATTGTATTAGTTTGACAATATATTGTTATGTTGTTGTGGACGTATCCAACCACATACCTTTCAACGTGTGTGTGCTATGTTGTGTGTTTTTTTGTTGAATGATATTTTCATAATTGGTTAAGAGCGAACTTCCAGGCTTATGTCCGTCACGACTGCGCTTTACGCGTTTCAACGCATAGCATGACCTTGCGACTCGCTTAGTTGCACAAATTTATACAACCTGCCGTACTGCCAGGTGTTAGGGATCCCAATTTCTTTCTCCTCTTTCTTTCTTGCTTCAAGCTCCCTTCGGGCAGCCCCGAATCAACCGGATTTTATCTCAGTTTTTGGGGACTTTAGGGTCGGCGGACCCGACTTTGCAACAACCATGTAGAGGCCGTCAACCGGATTAAATTCCGACAACCATATAGAGCCATGTAGAGGCCGCAAAGTTCCATCTAAAGTAATGTAGTGGAATCTAAACTAAAGATTCTTAAAACTAAAACTAAATAGCATGAGGGATAGCTCAGTTGGAATCCCTAATAAATTCAAACTGTAATATATGTAATTCAAACAATGATAACATATTGTGACGAAAAAATTTTAGGCGGCAAAGTTTAGGGTTTTTGAAAATAGTGTCACATCAATATTTTCCAGCTCGTAGATGTTTTGACGTCGCTTTTGGGTGCTAGTGTCAGTGCTTTTAGGAGCTCGTGCCATAACTCGTGCTTGTACTTTTCTTGTCATTTCATGTGCTTTTTGCAGGTGTGGTGACAGCATGAAGGCAGGATGGATTGTGTAGGACCCACCTTATGATGGCACTTTCAATTCGTTAATGTTGAATTGGTCAAATGGGACGGCCTACATCAAAAGCTCGAGGCTCAACGATTTTGTTTCGGCAGAAGGATCTTGTTATGGTGATGCAAAGACGGAATTTATGACACGTTGCTGATACAAGGGTGGAGGGACTAGGCACCATTGGGAATCGTATGTAATGTAGTATTGCAAGTATGGTACTCCAAAAAAGGGCAAGAAGAGTATGCTTAGCTCAAATTTTATTCAAGATCCATCAACAAAGACAAAATCTGGTCCAGGCAGCATGGATAGTTTAGATCATGATTCTCACCACAAGGTGTGTCAGTGCAGGTTTAGTGCCATTAAATTGTTGCATAATGATCACATTCCACCAGGGACCACGAAGTTGCTATATAAGCATAGAAGACACGTAAATGCTGCAAGTGTAGCTTGTCATGGCACTATGTGTCCGGATAGTGTTGGCTTGTCATCTTAGATGACGCACAATTTATACTCCGAGTGCAGGTAACAGCATATTTGTAATATTTTCAATGTATTTGTTTATTGTTCATAGTTCATCGCCCGTCATATTTGTAATATGTACAGTAAGTTTGTTATTATTATAGTTTAAAACTTTGACGCTAAGCAAGCACGTTGTCTAATATTTTCTACGTTCTTTTGGCAAGGAGTGAGTAGAATGCGAGTTAAGAAGAGGTTTAACTCCTCCACAAATTCTCATGCGTGCTGCAAAAGCATTATTTGAAAATCATTCAAGCTTAGGCTACATGCAAGAGACCTCAATTAGAGATCATTATATCACATCTGCTGATGTCTATCATATCAAATTGAAACTTGACAAAGAAACTTGGATAAGGCATATTAATGATAGAATTAGCACAAAATTATGGATGAAAGCAAATTCATTTCAAGTTATTTTGTATCAGGCATCAAAAAGTGATTCATTTAAAACATTGAGGCTTGCTATTACAGGACCCTTGTTCGTGAAATTGTTGCTAAAACATGGAAATGGAGGTTGTGTTGCTATAGATGGAACGCACGTCACACAGAAGTATAAGGTAATATTTTGCTTGTCCATTCTGACGTTCTTATCATCACACTTCCATGATTATGTATATTCTATCTCCCAATTTGCAATATCTGCAATATACTTGGAAAAATAAAGGTTTGAAGCTTTAATCAATCTAGTAAAACGTTATTGAAATTCTCAATGTGTGATGTATATGTTGTTTTATATACCTTGATCACGTCTAGCTTATCAATACATAAAAATAGTGAATCATTCCATTTTATCAAGTTTAGCTTAGTATCAATGAAGATGAGTACTTTGTAAACGACAGTTAGTTGCAAACTGATGCGTTAATTTTATTTTTTGTGATGGAGTATCCACTGCACACACTTATGGTGTTCGACGAATATGAACACGGATATACTATTGTTTTTGAATTTCTTGAAAGAGAAGAAACACAAGATATGGTGGAATTATTATCTACAATGAAGAAGATGGCCCAACATTATATCCCTGGATGGATGCACTCCTGCTTCATGACGGATTGTGCTGACAATGAGAGACTTGTCATAGACATTGTACTTCCACATATCCCTGTATTTCTTTGCATATATCATGTTCGAAAAGCATGGACAAATAAATTGATTGAGGTTGTGAGTGGTCATGAAAAAAGAGCTATCATGAATGCTGCATTAGAAGACATGTGCTTTGGAAGCACATTGACTGCTGATGAAGAAGAATCTGATGTGGAAAGGTCTGCTGCGATGAAGCTTCTGTTATTTTACAAAAAGTTTCAACTCTCTGAGCCACAATGTGTGAAGTACTTCCGAACAGAATGGGAACCTTGTATGAGTAAGTGTAAGTTTGTAACATGTGCATACTATATGGAGTTATTACATTTTGGAAGTTGTTTTTTGCTTAATGGTCTTTCACAAGTACATCCAACTTACTATTTTTGAAATCAAGTCAGTGGATTCGTGATGAACGGAGGAAGACAAGCCGTAACAATCAAGATACCAACAATGTCATGGAATCAATGCATGGACACATGAAGGATTTTTTTTATGGCTGGCGCAGGAATGCACATGAGCAACGTTTGGATCATACAGTATATGGTCTGCTAGTGGATTTTGTAATGAGAATTTGGTACAAAGATCAGAAGAAGCTACTTGGCTTTATTTCAAATAAGAAAAAAGATTCACGTGTGATTGATGTGATCATCAAGACAAGATCTATACTAAATGCCCATGTTACTTGGCCTCATGGCTATGTATGCCCTACATTAGTGGGCTCTACATTAAAGCCAAATGGAATGTATCTTGTAAATTGAAGACAAAAAAAGTATGCATGCGAGTGATTCTGGTCACTCCAAGGCAATTTTTGCAAACATCAGGTACACCTCAGATTGCAATTCTCCCTTTGGTTGCATATATTACATATATTGGTTGCATTTGTATATTTGATTAACACTGCTTGTTTCATGTGTGTCTAGATTTTTATTCTATGAGGAAAGAATATTTTGATACCAACATCCGCATTTGTTTGAACATACGCTTTGATGGAATACGAGGTGGAATTGAAGAGCTCTTTGATAAAGGTCCTTCATCACAAATATATGATTTAAATGAGTATCTAGTTAGTCAAAGAGAAGTTGCACATATTGAAGTCAAAGATGATCACCATGACACTTTCAACCCTATAGAAGGTACTTCAAACTGTCATTTCAATGTCACGAGTGCAATTTGCGTGGCTATGCAACTCTGTGAAGCTACCTAACCGTATATGTTCTCTGTGTTATTAGATGCGGACAGCCTTGTAGAAAAAGCAACGAAGCCAACAGACTTAGAGGAGGAAGAAAATACCAAGCGTGCTCTTCATACTCAATTGGTATGGCTAAAGAACTTTTTTGATGAAAGCCCTAGTATGATCAAAGTTGGAGAGCTAGAGCTTTGGCATTGCATTGGACGTATCAAGGAGTCTCATCAAGCATGGAGTAGTGGTAGAATACTTTCTGTTGCACACATGTGGCGTACAGCCATGGTAGATAAGCCCAACTCATCATTCAAGAAATTGACTTGGCTTGAAAATTTAGCATGCATTAAATGTCGTAAGCCGCAGAGACTACTTGAAACAGGAGGAAGATTTAGAGCCCCAACCGCAGAT